TGCTGACAGGTAGGCTTTTTATGACAGAAAAGACTTGGGGGCAGATTTATAACTCGTTTGTCCAGAGTAAAGCTGCACAAACGTCATTCGCAGCACATTACTGCAACTTGATGGTGTCGAGGAGCATAGCAAATTAAAACTCTACCCCTTGGTATGTCTCTTCTGTCATCAATTATTCTCCCAGCCAGTAAGCGATTTTTTTTTTGTAAACAACGTTTTAGCTCATTCTTGGCTGGTGACCATAACACCTACCTTTTACAGACGCTGAAAACTCCATTAGGGAAGCGGTGCTGCCAGATGTGCTGGTCATCCTCAGAGTGGAATACCCTATCTTTATGTTTTTCTGATGAGATGTGCATTTTCCACTGACGCTCACTATTGCAGTTCTTTCCGCAAAGCCAGCAATGAAAATCAACCTGCCAGTTATAATGAATAATAGAGAAATTATATTTTAGCAATACCACAGAGAGAGAGAGAGAGAAAGAGAGAGAGTGTCTGTGTGTGTGTAAATAGGCATCTGATTTTATATTGTGCCAATTTACTGTATTTCCCTCCATAATCTGCCATTGTGAGCAGACACTAAAACCATAATTTCATAATTTGTAGATCCTTAATAAAGTTAAACAGCATTGGCGCCAAGACAGAGGCCTTGGCACATCAATCACAGCCTCATGTCTTGTCTACTTTGAGTGTAGTGACATCACGGCACTTCCTCTGTTACGGCTCTGTCTATCATCTCCCTGCAGCAATAGATCACTGCTATAGAGATCTATTGCTGGCTATCAAAAGTGATCTACTGCTACACACGGCTCTCCACTGGCTAGATCAAAGACCTTTCATGAAGAAAAAAAATATATAAATATACAGTATAAACATTTTTATACCTATATGTACATCCTTCTAGTAAATAAAAATATTCCCTTCCCAGATTATTCCCTAGGTCGCAACACTAACGGTGGATGATCTGCATGACATTTGTGTGCACTGTGCAAGCATCAAAAGTAAATGAACACAAAGTAGTTAGGATTTTAAAAAATCGCAAACCTGTGAAAAAAATTGTGCTAATTCGTGCCTTCGTCAACCTGACAATCCTTTGTTAATGGTATGCCAACAATCTATACAGACTGTATTTTTTCCCCATGCTTGTGTTGCAATGTATCCCCGAAAGGGAAATAAAGCTCTAATGGAGTAAAACGTATATGTACACTTCGAGCACTTTGATTAATACATCTTCCCAAATTTTTACTACCAAACTGCTGGCTTCATTATTATTTTAAGTATTCTTTGGATTCTCACTGAAAGTATTGGGGATATATTTTTATATCATTATTTTAATGCTTTGATTGCTCTTTGTTTCTGGTTTCTCTAACATATCTGTCCTGATGCCTTCTATGTCTGTCTAACGATACCTACCGTGGTTTCTGCATAGTCAGTGGGCAGGTGAATTTGTTTATTGGCTTGACTGGACATTTCATTTCCTCTGTCAGTCTTTTTACTGTTCAGTCTCTCATACAGTTTTTCCATGTCTTGAACTAACCAAGAAAAGACATTACAATTTGTTAATAGGAGGCTATGGTTGTTCTATAAGCAGTATATATGAAATTCAACAATAGGTAATACTGGATTGTTAGCATACAGCCTAAAACACACCACATGGCCACGTTTTAACCCTTTCGCTGCCAAGCCCTCCGGAACATTTTTCAAATCAGCTGGCCAAGCCATTTTTGAATTTTCTGCAATTTTTTCCTATTGGTTTGATTTTCAACTGCTGCGTTGCTAGCGTTTGTAAAAGACCCCCCAAACCATATATTTTCTGAAAGCGCAGGCCCGGTAGAATAAAAAGATGGTGATACTAAATTTGTAGGCCCTGCGATAATTGCGCAAATGTTTCTCAAATTAATATTAAACCGATAAAAATACACAATTCAATTGTTAAAACAAACCAAAAATCAGTATCCGTGCACAAAAAAAATAATTTTCGGACTAAATCTAAAAGATAAAACTGTATTGAGTTAATAAATAACAAATATTAGCAAATTTGTAATTGCGCCTTTTTGCGAAAAGGTAAAAAAATGAAGGTATGCAAAACTGTAAATAATCGACTTATGTAAAAAATTGTTTTGGTGTTTGTGTTGTGATAAAATGATACAGGTGTATATTTAATTGCAACACAAGGTATCACAACGCATGGCAATGAGTCACAAAGCTTTGCCATGCACAAAACCCCGGTCAAGATTAACTGCTTTGAAGAAATTCCCCTCCCTTATTGTCAGTGTAGTAATAGTTTTACCAAACAGGAAAATAGAGCAATGGCCAATGTGTAACCCACCACACGCCTGACCAGTATACCCCTTGAGGATGGGTGCTAAAATGACTGCAGATGGCTTTGCTGTGATTAATGAATATAGAAGATGTCGCCAGCACACCGAAAAGATGTCTACCAACAAAACATCTTTATTCAGGCATAGACATACTGTCACAAGGATGGCAATGTTTCAGGGCCATGCAGGGTCCCTTCATCAGGCTGAATATGACAGCCCCGAAATGTTGCCAACCTTCTGACAATATGTCTATGCGTCAATTAAGACGTTTTGTTTGGACACATTTTTTCGGTGTGCTGGTGACATCTTATATCTTCATTAACCTCGGAAAAGCAACATCGATAGTGATAAAGAATGGGAAGGCTAGAGCCCCAGTCAGTAGTTTTGATTTCTGTGTCGCTTTTGCACATTTTCTCTTACTTCCCATTACCAGGACAGTCAGTGACTGTTCATTTAACAGAGCCACGGACAGCAGTAAAAGCATGACAGGCGTTCCAACTATTCCCCACTCTATGCAAAACTGAACAAAACAATCCAGGAAAAAAGTGTTTTGGCTGGACAAACATTTTAAATCCTTAAACGGTTTGTGCACAGCAAAGTTTTTCCCCCCAAACAAATCTAAAAAAAGACTAACATATTTATCGATTATTGAAAACATCCGCAATATGCCATTTACTCAGCAACAATGTACTAGACTGGCTCACAGATGCTCATGAAGTTGACACTTGATAATTGATTATTAAAGCTGCGTGCACAATTTATGCTCTAAAGTATTTGTCATTGTGTTACGGAAAGCAGTCATGAATCTTTATGCCACCAGCCCCTACTTGGGTACAAAACTACCACCTCAGCATGATATGCAATAGCATCCTTGCATGCAATATAATACTAATTGGATAACAGATCAATAGCACTTTATATGCCAAGATTTGGACAATAATGCCCAAAATGTCGCCAGCACACCGAAAAGATGTCTACCAACAAAACATCTTTATTCAGGCATAGACATACTGTCACAAGGATGGCAATGTTTCAGGGCCATGCAGGGTCCCTTCATCAGGCTGAATATGACAGCCCCGAAATGTTGCCAACCTTCTGACAATATGTCTATGCGTCAATTAAGACGTTTTGTTTGGACACATTTTTTCGGTGTGCTGGTGACATCTTATATCTTCATTAACCTCGGAAAAGCAACATCGATAGTGATAAATATATACACATACATACATACAGTATATCAGGCCAACTGTGGAGAACAGTGATTAATGGATGTTGAATTGCATTTTATGAACAAAGGTGTTTTAAAGGATAAAATATTTTAAACGGTGACAAAAAGTACAGAACGATCATAAATTTTAGGCAGCAGATCTTTTATGCAGATATATATGTGCTTTCTAACTTACTGCTAAACTGAAATCATAAAGCAAAAGGTCAAGGCTGTAGATCTACTCTATCAGTTTATACCATTTCCTGGCTACCTAATGAGACCAGGTCACAACAGTGCGGAAGCACAGGCACCGCAAGTTCCAGAGTCAGCATTCAAATCAATCTCTATGCATTTGTGAGGGTCTTTGGATATGAAGGCAATGCTGCACATAGAACATCCATTTATGCCCAAATTGAGATTAATCCCCAACCCCATCATAAGTCAAATGCCAAGACTTCAGTGAACCATGGAGACTCTGGAACTTTCTACCTGAATGGCAGGGATAGGGTGGAACTTAATCCTGACTTTGGAGTCAGTCTGAAGATTAACACAAGTTTTTAGAGGCACCTTGTGGAGCCGGTATTTTAGCATTGTTCAAAACAAATAAACGTTTTAAGCTAGGTTAAAATTACTTTAATTCAGCAGACATAATTTGCATGTCAGGAAGTCACTGCTATACTGCTAGAGAGAAAGATTTTTTTGCATCTATTTAAAAACAGATTTGAAGGTTATTTCCACTTTCGCAGCCAAACTGGGATAACACTTATTTTATATTTGTTACATGTTCCCATGTACATAGCATAAGCTAAACAAAATAAATAAAAAATGCTGCTTGCAGTTTAAATTGCTTTTACTTGGGTTAGGGTTTTAAGGGTTAAAGTTTCTTCTTGCTTCTATTTCTTTAAAATGTTAGGAGGGGCTGTGAGGGGTCTGAGGTGGCTTGTCCAATGTATGTTAATTAAGCTTATCAGATGCACACAATCCTCAAATTTCAGTCCCAAGCCTTTCTATTGGGACAGATCACCATGAAGGTGCTAAGAAAAACCTGGAATCAGCCATCTTGCCTGATTTAACAAAACATCTAAAAAGGTAAGAATTGTTTTTAAGTAGTTTTTCAGTATACTGTGTGAATAGGATCACGTAACGAACATATAGAGGGGTTTTCTCAAATTTGACTGCAAAAGTGGAAATACACTTTAAGCATTTAACTTCCAATTACAACATTCTGTTCAACAGTGAGGTTTATTTTACTGAAAGAGTAAAGCCTGTTCACTTAGCAAAGTAACTACCCAGTAATGTGCTAGTAAAAATGTACACTATTGAGTATTCAAAGTGAACACATATTTGCCACATATTTGCCACATCTAGAAGCATTTACTCTGAAAAGTGAACACATACAAGGTGAACATTCACTTTGCTAAGCAAACAGCCTATATATTTTCTATAAATATCTTGTTAATTCTGAATACGGCTTACAGCAAACTTGTCTTAAGTAAATAAAATTAGTATTTCAATGTTGGTGGACAACTGCTGTAACTGATATTGGCTATTGGTAGAGCAAGTATATGATTAGGTGATCAAAAACCTTCCAGGAAAGAAAAATTAAAATACAACCACTCCCCTTAAATTTTATTAGAGACAGATTAGATTTTTAATATTAAAATCCACTATACCAAGTAATCTTTCTGCTAAGCTCACTCAAGGCACCTTTCTATAATGCTCCTTTGCTCCATTTTTTATGTCAAAATAACTGTGATCCTCTCGGTACAAGATACTGACTCATTGAAACACGCACAGTTCTGCATAAGGTCTCAGAGCATCAAGAGGCACAATAATTGCTGTTTTAACAATTTTAGGAGCTTTTTTCAAATTGTATTGTATTTGTATCAATGTAGCATTTCATTCTCAGAGTAATCGGCTGTTTAATTGAAAGCATTAATCAAAAAACTATATTCTCTAAAGTCATTATCATCTGCACTAATCAGCTGATCTTTGCGTGCTTTATCAAGTTTTTGTCTTAGAACTTTACTTCTTTCTTCCCACTCTTGAAGTTCAGCATTTCCATGGGCAAATCTGCATTTTTCTCCATCTGGACAGGCGCCAGATAAGAACCTAATTTAATGGAGAAGATGAAAAACATTTTGAAGGATCTGATTCTTTAAAGAATACACAGCAAGCATAATGGCAGTATTTAAATCAACACTTACATAATACAGAGAAATATGCTGCAATAATAAATAATAATGGAATGTTTGGAATCAAAAGGATTAAAGAAAATGCTGACAGGTAGGCTTTTTATGACAGAAAAGACTTGGGGGCAGATTTATAACTCGTTTGTCCAGAGTAAAGCTGCACAAACGTCATTCGCAGCACATTACTGCAACTTGATGGTGTCGAGGAGCATAGCAAATTAAAACTCTACCCCTTGGTATGTCTCTTCTGTCATCAATTATTCTCCCAGCCAGTAAGCGATTTTTTTTTTGTAAACAACGTTTTAGCTCATTCTTGGCTGGTGACCATAACACCTACCTTTTACAGACGCTGAAAACTCCATTAGGGAAGCGGTGCTGCCAGATGTGCTGGTCATCCTCAGAGTGGAATACCCTATCTTTATGTTTTTCTGATGAGATGTGCATTTTCCACTGACGCTCACTATTGCAGTTCTTTCCGCAAAGCCAGCAATGAAAATCAACCTGCCAGTTATAATGAATAATAGAGAAATTATATTTTAGCAATACCACAGAGAGAGAGAGAGAGAAAGAGAGAGAGTGTCTGTGTGTGTGTAAATAGGCATCTGATTTTATATTGTGCCAATTTACTGTATTTCCCTCCATAATCTGCCATTGTGAGCAGACACTAAAACCATAATTTCATAATTTGTAGATCCTTAATAAAGTTAAACAGCATTGGCGCCAAGACAGAGGCCTTGGCACATCAATCACAGCCTCATGTCTTGTCTACTTTGAGTGTAGTGACATCACGGCACTTCCTCTGTTACGGCTCTGTCTATCATCTCCCTGCAGCAATAGATCACTGCTATAGAGATCTATTGCTGGCTATCAAAAGTGATCTACTGCTACACACGGCTCTCCACTGGCTAGATCAAAGACCTTTCATGAAGAAAAAAAATATATAAATATACAGTATAAACATTTTTATACCTATATGTACATCCTTCTAGTAAATAAAAATATTCCCTTCCCAGATTATTCCCTAGGTCGCAACACTAACGGTGGATGATCTGCATGACATTTGTGTGCACTGTGCAAGCATCAAAAGTAAATGAACACAAAGTAGTTAGGATTTTAAAAAATCGCAAACCTGTGAAAAAAATTGTGCTAATTCGTGCCTTCGTCAACCTGACAATCCTTTGTTAATGGTATGCCAACAATCTATACAGACTGTATTTTTTCCCCATGCTTGTGTTGCAATGTATCCCCGAAAGGGAAATAAAGCTCTAATGGAGTAAAACGTATATGTACACTTCGAGCACTTTGATTAATACATCTTCCCAAATTTTTACTACCAAACTGCTGGCTTCATTATTATTTTAAGTATTCTTTGGATTCTCACTGAAAGTATTGGGGATATATTTTTATATCATTATTTTAATGCTTTGATTGCTCTTTGTTTCTGGTTTCTCTAACATATCTGTCCTGATGCCTTCTATGTCTGTCTAACGATACCTACCGTGGTTTCTGCATAGTCAGTGGGCAGGTGAATTTGTTTATTGGCTTGACTGGACATTTCATTTCCTCTGTCAGTCTTTTTACTGTTCAGTCTCTCATACAGTTTTTCCATGTCTTGAACTAACCAAGAAAAGACATTACAATTTGTTAATAGGAGGCTATGGTTGTTCTATAAGCAGTATATATGAAATTCAACAATAGGTAATACTGGATTGTTAGCATACAGCCTAAAACACACCACATGGCCACGTTTTAACCCTTTCGCTGCCAAGCCCTCCGGAACATTTTTCAAATCAGCTGGCCAAGCCATTAGTATAAGGAAACAATCTCAATCTCTGTTGTGTTTTTAGTGTGTTTAACTTGTATTGCATTTTTTTCCCACAATCTATTTTTATTTTTTAAAAAAAGAAATTGTGGTAAAGAACAAACAGAGGGGTAAAAGGGACGAAGGGGTAATGGGTACATCGTAAAGAATTTTTGCATGATAACCATTTATGCAAATAAGAAAAAGAGAAACAATTTCCAGTCTAAGAGAGGAATGTATAATAAACGATGAAAAAAAGAACAGATTTCAGGTTTATTGGGAATGTACAATGCAATATTGTTGCAGTTACACAGTTAATAAAAAATAAATAAGGGGAGAGATTTATTTGAGCTGGGGGAAGGATGAGGGATCGAAGGCGGTGGCAGGCCGGTATCCCCAAAAACCTATCGTAAGCAAGAGGTTTGGAGGCGCATGCCTAAGATCTAAACTCTTCTGATCCCATAAAAAAAAAATCCATGGAGTCCAAGAATCATGTCATGTTCTTGAGCTATCAATTTCTACACTCTCATAATATGACACAGTTCTGTTATCCACTCATGCAAAGATGGAGTCATCTGGAGACAGATAGTTTTCTTTTGGTGGTATTTAATCACCACTGGGGTTTTTATTTTTACTCTACAGGTGAAACTCGAATAATTAGAATATCGTGCAAAAGTAATTGCAGTAAGAGCTGCAAAAGGGGCCCAAACCAAGTACTGAGTACATATGCATGCTTGTACTTTTCAGAGGTCCGATATTGTTCTATGTACAATCCTTGTTTTATTGATTGCATGTAATAATCTACTTTTTTGAGGTTGTGGATTTGGGGTTTTCATGAGCTGTAAGCCATAATCATCACAATTATGACAAATCACAGCTTGAATTATCTTGCTTTGCATGTAATGAGTCTATCTCATATATTAGTTTCACCTTTTAAGTTGCATTAGTGAAATAAATGAACTTTTGCACGATATTCTAATTATTTGAGTTTCACCTGTATATAGAAAAAAGTACCTAACATTTTGAAAAAAATTCCTACGTTATGTTATGAAACATTGCAAATAAATGATCTTCGTTCCTACATTTAGGACAAAATGTCTTCTTACACATTTCTTTGATCATGTCGGGTAAATAGATACCATACAAATTGCATGCACCAGCGAAATAGCAAAGAAACTACCATACCCAAAATTGCCCATAGGCAACGATTCAAAAGCTTTTACCGCTCATTGATTTAGTGATAACAATGATTGCTGGCTCTAGAATTATTGCTAATACTCGGACGTTCGCAGTGATATATAATATGTATGGCGCAATCGTTGTTTTTGCATATAGGCACACCTGAGACTTGTTTGCGTTTTGTAAGCGCGTGTATGCCGTGGCGGGGGACTTTATTAATTTTATCTTGTGTTTTTTAATTTCTTTTATATGACTTTCATTTTTTTTTAAACTTAACTTTATTGCCATCAATTTGAAGAAAATGTATCTTGTATAAGGAGGTGCTTTTTAGCGGCAAATATTTATTGAGGCCTTAAGATTTTTGTAATTTTACCTTACAGTTACTAACTTCTCCATATATTATATATTCTTTATTAAGGAGCTGAGACTGATTACAGGGTTAGAAAAATATAGAAGCAGGCCATCGGTATACAGTATAGGCTCAATTTATGTGTGTGATAATATGTTATACGCCAAGTGTTTCATTACCAGTAGATATAAATAGATGGCAAAATAAACTACCCTGGTTTGATCAATTTTGAATTGAGAAAGGGCCTAAAAGATGTCCATTAACTGATCCTGGAAGCAGGAGTCATGTATGGGGCCATGATTTTATCAATGAATGTTCAGGGCAAGCCAATTTGTGCCAGCCACTCGTAAGAGTTTCCAGTTTCCTCTATCCAAAGCTTTTTCCACATCAACGGACAATAGGCAAAGGGGGCTGTGAGTGACATTCAGCATAGTGTATTTATAAGGTAATTTACTATGGTCTTTGGCCTCTCTAAATGGAACAAAGCCAACTATCAGCTGAGGCCTGATCATCTACTTGGTAGGACCTGTGAACAGAGAAAAAGATGGCAGTCTTCAAATCTGGGAAACAGATGTCCGACACTGAAAAGCCCATAGAGCAATTACTGACTTAGTAGTGTGTGCCCTAACACAAAAAGGAAAACAAAAATGAAGAAAGTCACCAGGGGTCCCCTTCATCAGACTCAGAGCCTGATGAAGGGGACCCCTTGAGGCCCCAAAAGCGCTTGCATAGAAGTGGCTGGCAATGTGTCAATAAATGGACTATTGCTAAATTACCATTTGGAGTGCTGGTGACTATTTCTTCATTTGAGTTTCTCATGGTGCCACCCGTGGTCACTACAAGCACCCACCTGTCTTCACGGGTCCCTAGATGTTCTGGTAAGGAGTGCAGCAAGACCTCTGGTTCCTAACACAAAAAGGGGAACCTTTTTTCTCAAGCCTGTAGGCACGAATGATAACCTGTCTATGCCACCTAGAGATGGTGGAATGAGAGGTGGGCAGTCCCCTGTGGGGACCTTCAGGAGTGACAAAGTGAGCATTGGCCCGACTAAGAGAAGAGGTAGCCGAAAGAGATGGAAATGAACTCTAACCAAATCCAGGCAATAAAGAGATATCTCCCTAGGATGTCTTTGAGCAGGACAGAGAGAGGGAAAAACAATGACGTGGCTGAGGTGGAAGAAACCACCTTGGAGAAAAATTAGGGCCAAGGCCTTATGACAATCTTATCCTTATACAGAATAAGGAAAGGTAATATAAGGCCACTAACTAAGAGACTCGCCTCAGAGGTGATAGAAAGAAACCTTGAGAGGCAGAGTAGATAGCAAAATATTCCTCATGGGCTCAAAAGGCAAGAGGGCCAACAGAACCAGGATGAGTCACACAGTGTAAATCAGGCTGAACTGATCCCACGGGTCACCAGAGGATCTTTGCATCTGGAGAAAAACTGACACAGTTGGACTCCAGGATATCCACGTCTGGCATTCCCAACCAGCAGTGGAAGTGTTCAAACACTTTTGGTTGAAGAGACCATTCTCCAGCATCCAGTTTTTATAAGCTATTGAAGTCTGCCTGCCAACTGTCCATGCCAGGAATTTGTATTGGGTAGGAATGTGCGGACAGAGCAGGGACATGGAATTTTGCCAAAGCCAGAATCTCATTGGCTTCTCTCTGGATACTCCTTGATTGTTGATGTACGCCACCACTGTGGCAATGTCTGACTGGATTCAGGTTGGATGACCTTGCAGTCAAGAGCTCCAACGATGAAGGGACAACTGAAGCGCTTGAAGCTCCAAATACAGTATGTTGATTAGAAAGCAAGTCTCCTCCCGCAATCAAGTTTCCTGCACTGAAAAGGAGTCCAGGACTCCTCCCCAACCTGTGAAGTTGGTATCCATTGTGAGGGTCTTCCAGACCAACAGAAGGAAGGACTTCCCTGACTCCAAGGCTAAGCCACCAGGCCAGAGACAATCTAGTCTTGGGAGACAGGCACACAGGCAGATCTAGAAACTGCTTCCTTGTCCCACATGGCAAATGTTGTGTTTTAAATGTCTGTAGTGGAACTGGCCATAAGGAACTGCCTTGAAGGAGATTACCATCATACTCAGGACTCTCATGCAGAAACGGAAACTCAAATGGCTCCTGGACTATAGGGTCAGAAAGTGGGAGCAGAGAGCCAGGAGTCTGTCCAGAGGGAAAACCTTGGGCAGAAAACCTTGGAGGCCCAGATATACCAGGAGATGAGTCGGTTCCAGCATTGACTTCTGATGGTTGAGGATCCAGCTGAACTGATGGAGAGTCTAACCAGTCCATTGGGCATTTTCTGATGGTACAGAACCAACTGTTCTATTAAAAGGAGTTAGTCAAAAGAGCCTCTTATATCTACTGTAGAGTTTGCAAAATGCTGGGGATCTAAAAACAAATTCATCTGAGACTTCTATATATCACTGCCTTATTTAAAAATGAGTGACCACATGACAAGCCTCAGCAATTTTTAAAACACACAACCACCATGAGAGGCATGGTTTACACTCTGCCAACCAATAGAGTTAGGGGCATTATGTGTTGATCCAAATGAATGATGTGCTGATATGTTTAAGACAGGCTGAGCCCTTCGTTTAATCACCACTTGTGGCCATAAAAGACAAGGTTGGATCCAACAGAACATAATAGGATTTTACATATTTTGTTCTGCTATGTCTTCAAGATAATTTTTGTAAAGAAATTGTAAATTTGTGTAAGATGCTTTTTTTTTTTAAATATTAGATAATTATATTAGAAAATATTCTGGAGAAAGGTGACAATACGAAAAAAAGAGAAGGTAAAACAATATATTAAAACAAAACAGCAAGCATTGCTTAATTCATATTTTACTTACCGCCTACGTCCTTCATATATGTCCATATTTCTTTCTCCTCTTGGCTGTGAGCAAAGGCACAATTTCCTATAAACTGGCATTTTTTGCCAGTCACTATATGATGACACAGCTGCGGAACAGACAATGTACTAATTTAAATAATCTCTATTTATATATAATATATATTATTTATATGATAAAAACAACCTTAAATGTAAAATACAAGTTACTTTTATGTAAATGATCTATTAATATAA